TTTGTTGTGACCCCACGGGCCAGTCTGAAGAAGCGCGGGGCTCCGGGGAGCCGGAGGCAGAGGCAGGCGTGGCCAGAGGCCGGCCATTGTCGTTCAGATCTGTTTTCTCTGAAATTAGTGCTAAAGGAACGTCAGCTCCTGCTGTCACCGCCCTGGGAGACCGGACCCCCACGGGCTCCACGCACATCGGGCCTGCCGAGGAGAAGGAGAGCCCCACGGCTCCATCCTTAGGGAACGGGTGGCACAAGGCTTGGAAAGACCGGCGAGGGGGAGGCTCGTAGCTGTGTCACACTCCTCAGCCTTCCTGGCCTGTCGGAAGGGGAAGAGTTCGCAAGACCCGATGTTCGGACACTCCCCTGTAACCCTCCTTACCTGCTCTGGGTTGTATTTGGAGAGGACCCCGTCCCCTTGGAACTCTTCCAGGACATCCTTCAGCTTCTTAGTGGAATCTAGGAGGACACAACCTCGTGTTACTCCCCGCCATGCGGACACGCGGAGCCGGCTCTTCATCTGGCCGGGAGAACCCTTGGCGGCCAAGCAAGCTGTGGGGTCACAAGCTCGCCTGGTGATAGGAAACCACCCGTTGGCAGCAGGACAGCGAGAGGCCTCGCGTGCTAGGAACGGTCCCGCCTACTTCTCCACCCGCCATCCCCCTTCTCCGCGGCCCCCCAGGCACCCGGAGTTTCGCCTCCTCCTCCCCTTCCAAACGCCTCGCTCTTTATCGCGGACCTCCCGCTCTAGCGTCACTCCAGTGGGGGGCAGCGCTGCCAGGCACTGGGCCCCGGCGGAGAAGAGGGGCTGTCGGGCTGGTGAACGCGAGGGGGCACGCGGATGAAAGCGTCAGCAGACGAAGGAGACACCAAACGCGGAAATGCAGCCAGATCCCAGGAGGAGGGAATCCCCCGATCTCTCTGCGGGAATGCTCCCCAGGGGAGCAAGGAGCGGCTGAGATATTCCAACTGCAGCGTCATGCAAAACTGGGGGGCTCCCGGGGTGCCGTTACCGCGGGGACGTGGCCAGCAGCCAAGCCAGTCTCCACAGGCGGGAGAGAAACGCCCGACTGCACCAAGGGGAAACCGGCTGTGCCTGGAGGGTGGTTTGGGTTTGTTGCTTCTTTGCTTTTCTTCCTCCCCCCGCAGGGAAGAGGTTTTAAAGAAGAGAGACTGCAGAACCCCCACCCCACAAGGACAACGCCTCTGTTTTGAGGGAGGGATGTAACAGTATCGGCGATGAACCCAGTATCCAACCAGCAAAAGCTTAGAGGTTAATGCTATAGACGACAAGCATTTCCCTCCCTCCACCCTGGCCTTTTCATTTTTTGCAGGCTGGCTGTAGGGTTACCAGGTAGTCCCAAAAAACATACCAGACACACTTGATCGGGAGCGGGGAGAGGGACCAGCCGG